TTTTTTTTTTAAGAATGACAGAAAAGGGCAATGAACAATGTTGCTGTCATAGAATCTCACCTTGTATTTTTGACGCAGTTCCTCTGTGTCAACTTTTTCCACTTCCAACACCCGACGCTTCTCTGTGGCATCTTCTGCATAGTCCAGCTGTGGGCACACACATACACAAAAAGGTTAGAGGGGCATACATTAAGTAAGAAAAGAAAGCAGAAACAACAATCTTTTCACCTCCATTTCCATGCGCCCCATTCCCATGACGTCATATTTGAGGATGATGGGCACAGGGTCAGTTCGTCCTATTAGGTTAGGGGGAGAGGCAGAGAGAAAGACAGAACAGAGGTTAGACTTTTGTTCAGATACAAGAGAAAACTCAGGGGCGGGACAGCCTGCTTAGAGCACAGGGTGCTGGGTTAGAGAGACTGCCTTCAAGTGCAAGAGACCAGAAAGCTACAGTGAACCAAACTCTAGCCATTCTCACAGCTTCATGTGCAGCTCTTCTCTAAAAGGCCATTCCAGGTGCTGCGATGTGATTGTAACTAAGCCTATAGTTTTAATTGTTTACCATTTGAGTTTGCAGCCAATTTATTTTGTAATGAACTACATACCCTGAAAAAGCGTAAAAAGCTTCCATCAAAAGAAGCAAGGGACAGTAAACAAGGAGGGGAAGGTTGGGCCGAAGTTTTCACTGAATTTGCCACAGCGTCCCTACAGTGGCCTGCTTAAGGAGGTATTTTTCCTTCCTTTCTTACTTCCTCAATTTTTCTGTTATCTCCCTCCCTCTCTTTTGAGCCATGTCTCAATGCAGTATGCATTTTGTTCTGTCCAACTCGTGTTCTTAACTGAGATGACAGGGAGGCATTTGGATTGCCGGAGGGAGTACTTAAGAGAGGGGGGAGGTATCCGCATTCACTGCATCTTTTCACAGCATTGCGACGACACTGACTACCTGATCCACAGTGTGCCTTCCATATTACTCTCCTCTTTACACCCATTTATCTAGTTTTTTTTTAGGTTTGAACCCTCTCTGAGCTGCTCATCAACTGATTTTCCTACCTGACTGCAGGCCAGACCTGGATGCAAACGAAGGTTTATGACCCATATGATATCCTGAAATAGTACATTGTTTTACTGATAATCATAGTCTGTCATGTTTTATATACACAAGCTGTGAAAAGACCTAGATCAGAGGAAAAGTAACATCAGAAAAATGAACAAATCAGAATGAAACAAAAGAAAAAAAGGACAATCAAAACTACATTGAAGATTGACACATAATTGCTTAATCCACTCAAAACCAGCCAAACGAAGCAGAATGAGAGAGAAAGAAAGAGACACAGGGAGTGAGGGAAAGACAGAGAACAGAGAGAGATTAAGGACACAAGCACTGAGCTACAGCAGCAGTGTGACGTCAAAGGCCAGAGGTTGCCATGGTGACAGTGCAGGGTTGGGGAAAGGATGTACTTACCTGGGAGAGTGTGGGAATGGGGTGGGGGTGGCAAACATACAGACACAGAGACAGGAAAGGCAGGGGGTCTCAAATAAAGGAGAAAAGGCACAAGAACAGAAGTCATACTAAATTGCGTCTGCACAGGCTAGCACCATGGTCACAGTCAATCAGACTCCAATCAGTCATTTGGATTTCAGTTTTTATTTCTGTCAGTCTTCCTCTTTTTTGACAATTTTTTGGGGGGAGTCGTTCAAGTTAAAAGCAGGATCAGTTCATACCCTTGGGCTGATCTAATGACAAAAGATAAGAAAAACTTCTGAATAACACTGGAAGTAACAACACAATAAAGGGCTAGGAGCTTTACACATCCACAAATCAAAACGGTTGGTATTAGTTTTTTTTTTCAGATTAGATGGATATTTAAGGATGTTCATTTTTAATAATATTGTAAAATGTAATTATAGATAATACTTAACCATTACCCATGCACATTATAATTGTGTGATGTCAAAATACACTGACAAAGACTATTTTTGGTGTAGATTTTCAATATATGCCATAATATGAAAATAATTATTGGTCCATTGGTATTGGCTATAATTTTACAATCAGTTAATTCCTACTGCATTCAAGTATGGTTTTATCAATATAATGATAAAAAAAAAATTATGTACAACTTTAACAAAAGAGACATCCTGAGGAACTTCAAAAACCGAGTGAAACATAAGCAAGTATCTCTGCCTTAACACTCACCCTGTTGAACTACCAAAAGAAGAATTGTATGTCTTTCACATTTCCCTAAATTAAAAGGAATTAAGGCATCAGTAATGCGAATACATTTTGAGAAAGCTGTGTTTAAATCATGATAGATAAAGCATTCATTCCTAGCCCTTGA